TAAATTTGTAGGTGTATTTCAGTACAATTGTATTTTTCAGTGCATTTATTACTCTACTCATTGTGCGTTATTGGTTGTTCTGACTGCTTGACTGGACAGATGTAAACCGGTACATTGAAGGTGCGGAGTCAATGCTTTCCAGTCCTGCGGCCTGCAAGTTGAGGCTCGTCGCATGAAGTCCAGGACGATTCAAGCATTGGCCGCCACTCCGCAACAGCAGCGATGCCGCTCTACTTTGTTCACCATCTGGAATTATTCCCTGGCGTTTACTACGCTGCATCACGACTACGCAGTACACCCGTGGCGCGTCCTTCCACACTAATCGACCGGTTTCGCCACAGTGGGTTTTTGCCTTTGGCCCTGCCTATTTAAACGGCCACTATAGAAGTTTACTGATCTTGTTTCCACCGGAATAACAATTGACTACAGTCTTTACAATACCAGTACTTATTTTAGTTTCACCTTTACCGGTTTGCCTTCACATTTTAATTAGGTACGTCCAAAGAACAGTCAGTGCAACTGTTCCACGGCTACTTCTTTTTCCCTTTTGCTAACCACGGTGGCGGTCAGCAGCAGCATCTGGGAAAGGGGAAGGGCAAGAAGTGGTCGCCCGTACATAGTTCATACCTGTTTGTAATAATGCCTTTTTTCCTGTACTTAATTTGTGGTAGTGGTTGTTTAATTTCCCTAGTAGGCTGTCATTCGATAAGATGTACGTTTTTTTATGTATGAAATTTGAAAACTATGAATGATGTTTTGCACTTTCTTTGAAATGACGTATTTTTGTCTTGTGATGGCCCTATTCTAGTATATCCAAAATTCTGCTAAAAAATTAGAGGGTGTTCTCTGTAAGTGCAACATCAGGTAATTAACTGCAAAATGGATTTGAAGTACGAATATACTTCTGTGTCGGTCAAGGCTGGAATGACATTTGCGGGGCATGACACACTTGCAAGCAGAGATTCTGTAGCGGAAATTTTATTGGACATTCTACAATAATACAGGCGCCATAAACGCTATCAAGCTGAATACTGACACTATCAAGTTCTGTGGATATAAGGGGAGAAACCGCTATACTGAAACCATTTCCCTGTTTTGCTGCCGTCACCCGGCTGGAGTTTTACGTTGTGGATAAACATGGTGCTTATGTGCCGCGCCAGATTTAACCGTATGTACTGCCGTAACGTCACACTCCAGCCGGGTGACGGCATCACTCCGTGAAATGGTTTTCCCCCGATATATAGCCTGTTACTACAGCTGTCTTGTACCGAAACACGCATCACGTAGTACAGCAGCGGTTACGGGCCGGCAAACACCTTTCCCGCTGGGTGGAAGTGCGAACTGGGGTCCCGCAAGGGTCCATTTTTGGTCCGAACTTGTTTTCCATTTACATTAATGATTTTCTACAAACCGATTTCAAAGGCGTGCAACTAGAAAGTTTTGCCGACGACACCATCTGCTATGTCATAGCGGATACGAAAGCGATGGCTGCTAGCAAACTACAAAGTGCACTGCCGGCTATTACAGAGTGGTTCAACACCCACCATCTCGCAATTAACGAAAAAAAGTCAAAGTTATTGTTTGTTAATTCTGCTCGCAGTCATGAAACCGAAGTACCAACAATTGTTTTGAACGGTCATCAGCTTAAAGCAGAAACAGCTGTCAAGCATTTGGGAGTGATAATTGACCAACACTTAAAATGGGCTGACCATTATAATAAGGTCCATAAAAGCGTTAGTCATGGAATTGCCCTCATTAATCGTGCAAAAGACGGTCTGTGTGATTCTCAACGCATTGGGCTTTTTTACGCATTTGTCCAGTCTCACCTGGACTACTGTTCTACTGTGCGGAACGGAGCGTCTGCGTCCTTGCGGGAGAAGTTGGCTGTTGCACAACGAAACGCTGTTCGGGCGATCGCGAATTACCCGAGAACGCCAGTGATGGAACTAATGGACCGATTCGGGATACTGCCGTTGTCCACCAGATGGAAGCACCAGGAAGCCTGTTGGTTGTACAAGATCCGGCATCCTGTGACCTTCAACGTCCCCACGTACATCGCGGAAATGCTTGTATTCGATGAGCCGAAGAAGCCGTACAACTTGCGACAGGACAGTCGCCCGACCATCAAAACGGAGGCGAGGACGAAAACTGGAGAAGCAACTCTAGCGTGGAGGCTGAATAAACTGTTGGATAAAATATACCGTTCTGATAGTGATGTTCTTAATTTACGTTCTCTGTCGTGTTTTAAAGCCGCTGTGTTATCTGCCTGCTTTTTCTAATTTCTTGGTTATTGGATGCTAGTTATTCGACAATAACTCTTGATGTTCAGCCAGGTTTAAAATCGCATGCTAGACTGTCAACCTAGCCGGAAATGGGCTACCTGCTCTGATTGCAATTAAATTAAAAAATTATTGACAATGCGACTACTTTAGTACTACAAGGGTAGCTATTGATAATTAACGGAAATATCCCGGCGAGTGGTACTATACATTCGTATACATGAGCGGGAAGTTTCGTTTTCACGCTCTCCAGGACACAACTTTTACGAAACATTATTTCATGATATTACATACATAAGTAATTAGGAATTTATTGAATAAATGCAATTTTACAAGGTCCTTACACAATCTAGTTTACAAGGTCTCGTTGTGGTGTGATATGCATTCATTGTACGGATTGAAAACGGGTGTTGCCAAGTGGGCGTTTTTTGCCCAATGTATCAGGATCTTTGTCTCCGTAAGTATACGAAGATTGTTATGACACGAAGCAAAGCACGCTGACAGCAGTATCATCACACCAGTACGATAAGACATACTAACCAGTTTCCAACATAATGATTATTAACTAGTTTAGCAACAAGTTTAGCAACAGAAGCTTAGCAGCACCGTGTGGATGCATGGGTCAGACGTGAACGTTGTCTTTGGCAGTGTTGATATGTCCTAAACTGGGATATTTTGATTTATTTTTGTGCTCTTTGATCTCGATATTTTGTGCTCGCTCTGAATAAATTCCCATTTGTTCATCGTGTTGTGCTTCTCATATTACTCGTCACTCGGGATCCGTGGATAAATTACGTATTCCTCACACCGTTATAGTTGTTTAATTCCTGTAAGTCTTGTTCGCTTACACCTTCACAGACGGTAAGTCGTGCAAAAGAGTAACGGCAAATGCAGTGATGGTGCTGTGACTCCGGTGGCGGTTGCAGAAACGGGAGAACGGCGAAACCAGCACTACAATATGCGCTGTGTAACTCTGATGGGAACCGACGGTACAAAGTGTTGATTATTCCCTTAATAGCAGTACTATGCGGTTCGTACTGGAGCTTTAAACTATGGCATACGGAAGATAAAGATCACGGCGATGCATTCAACTGCAGACTAGTAGCTGCAAACCCGAACCCGGTTCAATAGCCTTTTCCAGAATTATCGTTTGTGGGCCGATTGACTCCACAATTTGGGGAGAATTGTGTAAAAGAAGCTAAGCCGCTGCTCGTCCGCTCCGGAACAAATCGCAGGCTACTAGGGCAGAAATTTTCAAGCTTGCCGGTCGCCCGTGATTTCGCTGGAGCTGTTCCGTGAAGCTTCCTGTGCGGTTGACACCGGCAAGCACGAACTCGCAAATTCAGAACGCGAAAGCCCGTATTTTCAGTATTGAATTTTCAGTCTTGCATGCAGGTGTTTTGGGTTAGCTATATACCTCATAAACATAAACATAAGGCTTTTCACATAAAGATAAACATAAACGTAAAGATTAGCCACATAAACATAAAGCTCAAATTCATAATAATTATGTTTAATACACAAACATAAATGTGGAAGGACATACTATTATGCGTAGACTTTATTACTAACTGGAACGGTTACCATGGAGGACATTTTATTCGCAAAAACGTCCGTGCAAGTGTTCCAGTTTCCCGAACGCGGTCGTAAATTGGTTGTATGAATTTTTTTTATTGATTTATCATTGCAAATATGAGTACGAGGACATTTGGGTGCGATGAACACCCGGGAACTAACTTCACAGAAAATTTTATATTGACAAAAATGTCATATCCAATTATTTTCACCGTCTGTTTTGACAAATTACGGTCCCCAAAAAATTATCGTATCTTCAAACTACATTTTAAAAGATCATAGTGCTTCACAGTTTTAAGTCATAGAAAAAAAATTTCAGAAATTAAATTCCCTCTCGACTGCTGCGCCCATAGCAGCATTGTGACAAGCTCTGGCGACTAGATCCATAGCTGAATATTTGGGGACAGCTGGATTTAGTACACGTAGCAAATCAGAATAATTAGTAAAAAAAGAAAAACAAACATCACTACTTCTACAACAAATCTAGAACAACAAGATACTGGAAATAAACAAATATGTGCGAGTACTCGTACTCGTACTGGATGCTGTGCGTTTTAAACTTAAATTTAATTTTAAAATTCCGACCGTGATGACCGTAGCGTTGCGAGCTGCAGAGCAGTCGGGTGTTCACAGCACCCAAATGTCATCGTAAACAAACTACTGGCGCTGTATTTCGCCTTTTCTCAACAACAGATCCATTTCGCTGTACGTGTAGTTTGAACAATTCATACTCGTATTTGTCGTATATATGGAACCAGTTGTGTGGATGCTTATGCTTTATTCTTGGAAAACATCGAATTTTCTTCGTGGACGTTTTTTTATATTTTATTGTTATTATTTTGATGGTGTATGTGTGGCAGACCCAGATTTCATAACCAACTAACAGTGTTCTTTCTGAACAGGGTTCTTACTGGCCGTAACGGGGAGTATGTACAGCCTCCAACGGGGGCGATGTCGCCGATGTGTAACGTAGACGGACGGGCTAGTGCTCTTGTGACTCACAGTGCAGAACACGCAGCACACCGCGCACACATCGCGCTGGCCCCTCACGCGTCCGGTCCCTTTTCACTGGTCAGGGTGACTCATCGTTCGCCGTGCACGTGCTGATTTCTGCATCTCTTCAGGCTGAAGTTCTCTTGCCATTTCATGGATTTCGGTGCGTTAAGCTGTTCACCGGAATTCTATAGTACTGTATTTCACCGCTTTCCTGCATCATTTGTCGATAAAGCATACCAATAATTGGCGAAGATCGATCCGAACTTTCACAGTATTATTGGTCTTTTTGCTCTGTCGCCTTGTAAGACACGCTTTTACAGGTTTAGACGACGGAAATATTTGAAAAGTTCCATCGAACCTGAAGACCGTTGCCCGTTATTTCGCTGTTCGGATACTTGCAAGGTAAGACTGGAGCGTTTTATTCGGCAACAATCAGTTCAGATAACACTGAGCTACTTAAATTTAATGATTCAGGAATTTAGTGTAAAGGCAGTATTAGGATAATGCACCGAATATTCGGATGCATTGGTAGACCGGAGCGCAGCGTTCGCGTTAAGGTTGAGGACTGCAGATCGATGTTAGGTCCTGTTTTCCATAGACGAAAAAACAGCTGCGGAAACACACAGTTGCGGCTGGAATAAGAAAGCCTTTATACCGGGTGGCTTAACAAAATGGCCGTGTTCGCTTTTGGTTTTTCTCGCGGACGATTTGTTGCATTATAACGTTTTACAGTAATTCCACAGAAACTTTTCTTGACTACTACAAACAATAAAGTTTTTGCACCAAAATTGATGCCTGCTCGTTAGCAATCGCGCGAAATGAAACTGAGCAAAAATTTATCGTGTCCTAGCTCGCAAAATTCATTTGCGTCATTTCTTTCCCGTAAGAGCTCTTTGAACTGTTTTGATTGCTTTATCCAGAGAATGGCTTCTTCTTTCAGTTATAGAAAACTGTTGGCTACAAGAAAATCGGTTAAAAGATACCTTTTTCCTTAATACTGTAACGAGTAGGGGTGTGGCCCTCTAGATTGTCATGTGATTGGCTCTGTTAGTTGTTCATGTTCGTTCATGCGTTTTGCTCGACGCTGCACAGCAGCGGTCCGATGCATGCATGCGGCTTCGCCGCTGTAAGTTCTCTAGATTTCTCTGCTTGGGCCTTGTTCAGATCTTGGAATAAAGGATCTTTGTTCCCGGGATCGAGGCTCTGGGCAGTTTCCCCATTATTTTAGGGTCACATTCAGGATTGTTTGTGACAAGTGGCGCTCCTGTATCTTATCACCCGCAACAGCGACAGAATTGCGCTTTTCAGTGGGTTATTTTCTCCAAATACCCGCTACGGACCGACAAAGTTTCCCTTATTCGACGTTACACGCACGTTTCGATTTGGGGATCGAATCGGTGAGGATTTCAGCTTTTGCTGCTTTAGAATTTTTTTTATTATTATTTGTCATCGCTGAGATGAATAATGGACGACGATTTTGTCGATAACTATCTGAATTATCTTGGTAAATTACGGTATAAACCTGATTTACAATTAATCAGAAATCAGTATTTTTACTGCTGTGACATTATTTCTAATGCTTTCTTATATTTACGTAATTTATATTGCAATAAATGTTTAGAATTTGCTCAAATTATCGACGAAGTCGTGCATTTAACAGCTAATGCTGAAGAATTAATTGAAACATTTTATTTTCAAATATCCAAGAAACTGAATTATTCTCATATTGACGAGATCACAACATTAGCTGAAGCTGAATACTTTTTGTACGAAAATGTTCGTGATACAACATCTAATTTTTTTGTAGATATTATTGAGAAGCAGCAGCTGAATAATTTTGCGCTGTCATCGATTACGGATTTTTCATCGCTCTCACGCAAAAGCGTGCCTGCACGCGTTTATGCGATAACAACAGAAAATGTGTCAAACAGCTCTGCTGCCAAGGAAATTATAGCGAAGCAGTGTGAAACGGCCAAAGCCGATACTGCTAAATTTAGTTTTGATATAGACATCGACAAGATAATTTCTCGAATTTTTTCGGGAAAGGAGAGCGGCAGCATCAATGGGCGCAGGGCGGAGAAATCCGAAATAAGTGTAGCGGCACAGCAGAATGCTGTTACCAGTTGTCCTCCATTCGCTGCTGTGCCCCCTTCAAATGGTGTCACGAGCGGAGGAAGCAGGGCGGACATATCCGAGCACATTTGTAGTGTGCGTCAGCATAATGCTGTTTCCTGCAGCAGCATACAGGTTCCTTCCATAATTTGTCAGCCGGTGGCTGTAATGAAGAAACGGGTTCGCTCCTCGACACGCATTGCCCCCGGTAAAGGCAGTAAGAGCAGCAGCATGGACTATTGCTACCTTCGACGATGGGGTGCAGAACCGCGCTCGTTGTTGTACAACGGTGGCTGGATCGTTGCAGCACTTGCTGATGGTTACTGCATTCTGCAGTGCACCCTGCGCATTTACGCGACAAATGTTCCAGATCCACCGCAACCGCTGGTACACCATGGAAAACAGCTTGTACGCTGCGAAGGGTAGACCGGTGTAACCGGGCGGCTCATAACGCCACGCCACTTCCGGTCGGATACGCTACGCCTCGTACCTTGTACGACATGACGTTCTTGTGCATGCTAGGCGTACACATGAATTTGCTCGCACTTAATGCGGCGGTTTGCGTAATTTTACGTCAAATGCGTTTCTTTGTTATTTCATTACTGGCATCTTTCATAAATGCGGCGGCTTGCATTTACACACGGAAGGTGCTTTATTTTAAAAATTGTGAACGCGTTCTGCGGCATTTTTAGTATCAAGCATCGCGTAAAATTACGGTTGAGCGTGTTTTATACGGAAGATGCTTTTTGCATTTGGGACAGTGCTGCGCACACAGTGCGATGCGGTCGCAGTAATGCGTTCGGCACGTTTGTGGCATTTTTTTAGGGCAGCCTGCCGTATGAAGTCCAAAACCGAACGTTTGCCAGCAAAGACGGGAGCGGGATGAAGCAGCAAGGGTGCGGCGGTCCCTAAGGGTTGATTGCGGCTCTTCGCCTGCTGTCGCGACCGGCTGCCCTGGGAATGGCGCATTTACGGGAGGATTCGGCAGCCGACGCCAACGGCGTGGTGATCAGTGGCTGATGCGGACGCGTCGCTGGATAGCGTTGTTTTTCCCGCTTGTTTTCTGCCCTTGTTTTTGTCGGCTGTGGGGCCAGCCTTCTCCCAGCGGGGGGACGTGTAACGAGTAGGGGTGTGGCCCTCTAGATTGTCATGTGATTGGCTCTGTTAGTGGTTCATGTTCGTTCATGCGTTCAGCTCGACGCTGCACAGCAGCGGTCCGATGCATGCATGCGGCTTCGCCGCTGTAAGTTCTCTAGATTTCTCTGCTTGGGCCTTGTTCAGATCTTGGAATAAAGGATCTTTGTTCCCGGGATCGAGGCTCTGGGCAGTTTCCCCATTATTTTAGGGTCACATTCAGGATTGTTTGTGACAATACCTTTATCATTAATACTAGTAAAACCATCCTGTTGACGGAATATTATTTGGATGTTTCGTAGAATACGGCGACTTGACTAGTAGACCTATGGAGGCGCAGCCACGGATGCAGCCAACAGCGAAACAGAGCCTGACGTCGAATGGCATCGGACGTCGCTTCCTAGCAGACTTAAAGTGATTAAACTGCTGACAAAATTAGTGTTCGCCAGATTTAGTGAGGAAGCTAATGTACTACAGTGAGTTTAGAACTGCATAAGCTGTGTAATAATGCACAATATTTTTAACCTACGCGGGTAACTTTAGTGATAAAGTTACACTGAAGTTATGATCCTTCCTACAAGCAAAAGATTTTCTGTGATTTTTGTATGTCCGATAGTCGTCATCAGATACTGTGTTTACAGCGGAATGGAAGAAGTGAAGGCGACAGCGCACGCGTCAGTGTTGGTGTACAATCCCGTTAAGAAGCGCTGGCTGCCGGCGGCATCCTCGAGCCAGAACGCCACCGCCAAGGTGCACGTCTTCCAGCACCGACTCCACAGCACATTCCGCGTTGTCGGCCGCCATCTGATGGATTACGAGGTACGCAGGTCCCTTGCACGTGGTTATGGTCTGCTGGCGCGGTAAATGGACGAGGCACTGATGATTTGTTGCAGCTGGTGATCAACTGCGCTATCGTTAATACCGGCTGCAAGTACATCCGAGCCACGCCGACATTCCACCAGCTGCACGACGGTGGCTTAGTATACGGCCTCAGTTTCCTGACCAAGGAGGAAGCCAACATTTTTGCGACAGCCATGGGCGAAGCCATCCAGGCACTCAACGTCGCTCTTCACAAACGCAGTATCCCGGGTACGAAAGTATGACTGAGCCTTCTGCCTTCTACGTTCTCTGTCAGGGTTGAACGGATTTCGCAGTTATATTTTCAACGGTTTCAGAATCGAGCTTGTTTTTTCTTCGTGTGGAGAGTGGGTTCTAACCCGTGTTTGCCAACCAACGCGCGCAAGAACGGTTGAAGCCCGGTTGGGTATCACGTCAATTCGCTGACCTACAATTTGCTGACCGACAATCTGCTGACCGACAAACTGTTGACCGACAATTCGCCTTCCTGCTAAATTTTTGATCGGTGTTTTGCTGAAACCTTTTTGCTGACCGACAACTTGCGTTCCGGTTCGATAGGTTGGTTTTTGAGTTTCCTAACTTCTAATTGCTTTTTCTGAGGTTTCTTAGGTTTGTTGCATGGGCTGCTCAAGTCAGCAAAATGTCAGCAAGTTGTCGGTGTTCACAAAAAGTCGTTCAGCGATTTGTAGTTTCAACAACTATCGGGTCAGCATTTTGTCGGTCAGCAAAACGTCACCAGCAAGTTGTCGGTCAGCAGGATAGTTATCAGCGAGTTGTCGGTGTGCCGAGCAGTTGTATGATAACTGTGTTGCGATGGGTGATGCTATTACAATTTACAGGCATCCAGCCCCGTATCCGCTTTTTGTCTGGTCCGTCTCCGGCCCGCACTTACACTGTGGACGCTCGGACCCGCAAGCGACCGGTTCTTCCGGAAGAAGACGGTCAACTGGCGGTCACTGAAGACCCGACGACGAAGTCCCCGACGGTCGCAGCCAGTATCGATCTGCCCCCGTTTGACAGGTGTGAACGGCGTGGTAGTGTCAATTGTTCCATATGTTTTTTGCTGCTTTAGTAGACCATTAGGGAATCTAATCATGTATGAAAATTCATCCTTGTTTAGAAACGTAAAACACGCGGTGCTCCTGGAGAGAGAATCCGCCATGCAGCTGGATTTTAATCGGGCAGAAGAAGACACAGCAGACAGGTAATGGCATTTTACGGTTTGATCGAGATTGTTTGAAATTCTGTTAACCAAAGTACTGTAAAGTAATTCGTTTTGTTGTATGATGCTTTGTATGTACGCGAGGTTGTACGCGAGGTGTATCGTACGTTTTCATCGCAGTGGCAATGATTGGTTCGACGATTCGTCCGTAACTAGACCTAATGATTCGGCAGTGAGTCCGACCTGTGAAACGGGAAATCCGGAGAACACCCATACATCGTTTGACAGCCAGTCCCGGAACAGATCGTCCGAATCGGTACGATTGGTTGACAAAACTAAGTAACAACAATGCACCGTTATGGCCCCGATGACCGCATCGACAACGCCCGGCTCGAAGAAAAAAAGCGGCAATGTGTGGATAATCAGATTACCGCTCTTTGAAATGCATCAAATTCTCGGCAGCATGACCTGCACAATGCTGAGAATTTCTAAACATTCCGCTTGTGAGAAATTCTCAACGCTGAAATTGATAACCAAAGCACGTAACAGCTCTAACAAAGATAATAACGCTTAATAAAGTTGACTAATTTTGAAATTATGTAAGTATTCTTCATTCGGTATTTCGGTTGCGTTTTTTCAGATCGGGATTGCGCGTCCGAAATACATTACTCTTCGCAACGAAATATCTAACACTGTAAGTTACCGACTCCCAGTCACGGTAAACGGTTGATATTACGGTAAAATAACTTACCTCAGTCGATATTACTGCGACTGAGGTCAGGGAGTGATAATTTGTTTGAGATGTACTGCTTAATGCTGGCAAATGGTAATAATTTATGTAACGCCTAAAATTTGTAGCTTGCAAAGTCGACAAACGTTAACTTTTCTCTGGTTTGATACCGTACGTTTTTTCTAGTCCGAACCTGGACATGCTCCGATGGAGAACGAATTTCTAGAGCCGGCACAAGCACAAGTCTCACTTCCACCAATTGGTCAGTTACAACTTACAGCCTGCTGTTTTACTCACTTGTTTCTTAAAAATGCCGTAATTCTGTTATTTGTTGAAAACGTTACGAGAGGTACCTGTACATCAGATCGATGCAATAAATGCAATTGTAATTGCATTTAAATACATTTGTAAATTAATGCAATTAGTACGTAATAAATGCATTTGTAAATTAATGCAATTAGTATTTCTTTGAATTTTTTTTGGCATATAATATGAAATATAATTTTTTTTTGGCATATAAAAAAATATAATAAAAAATAATTTTTTGGCATATAATACTTATAATATGAAAAATAATTATAAGCATAGTTGTGCTGTACTCGGTAACTTTAACTGTAATTCCGAAATATGATTTATCCACGAATTATAATTGTGTGAATTGTAATTGAATTATTCGCCAGTATTTATTCAGCATCCGGTGGTTTTTGCAAAACGTTTGATTTGGAATTTTCGTCATGTTTTTGTTATTAAAGTAATGATAACAATCATTGCGTTTTAGCAGAGGCGAGTCGGGCCAAAATTTCCCGCACTTTTATAGTTTGATTCGATTTTGATTGTATGATTCTGTTTTTATCAGTCGAAGCCTAGAGTTACCGAACTGTTGCTTTGGCAGCCACGATTGAGTACGCTGTGCAGTCCACGAAGATCGGGCATCAGCTGGAGCCGGGAGCTGGATCACTCCTAGAGGGCCGACACAACGTCGAGCTGGAGAAGGGACCGGTAAAAAGGGGCCGGCCGCCAATACACCCAGACGGAGGTGGGTATAGCTGTGGTGGTCCACTATCAAAATTAATTCTGTTTTTTTTAAATCCCTCCCGTTTTTATTGTGAAAATTTGGACAAAAAAACCTCAGTTTTTGTAACTTTTAACCTGCATTGTTTTGCGTATGACCTCTGTAATTTGCTCCTTTGGCTTACTGTAGATACATGCCCGAGATGCGGAAAACATTTTCCTAATCGCTCTAATCGCAACAGACACTGGTTAAAAGTAGATTGTACGAAGAAGAAACAGACTACAAGAAACTGCTGAAGAAAAGGTTTCGGGAGGAAGGAAAGGATACGTGCGGACTGCGGATGTTATCATTGTATTTTTATTCTTATAATTGTTATTATGACCTTGCCCATAGTTCAGTTACGAAGGCACTGACGTGAAATGTGGCCCCTGCGAGTTATAGTTTTTTTCTTTTGTAATGATATTGCTGTTGTCTAGAATATTTTGTATAAAAAGATGTCCTAGATGTTGTTGTTGTTGCCATGAGTTCTAATGACAAGACATTGTGATAACGGAGTGATAGTTTTATTCTTTTTACAGTGACGTTTTCAGTCCAACTTTTGTGTACAGTACTCCAATGTGCTGTAAATTTCTTTGTATTATTTGTATTCTCGAGAATCTGTATTTGTACTGAGAAATTATGAAGTTTGTAGTTGTGCACGAATCTGCTAATCATCTGCTAATACGTGTCAAGTGTCAAAAGGGACCTAAATGCGTATTTCCAAAACTAAAATCTGCAAATAGTCCCACTCGTCTTATCTTTTACATTTTTTAGATAGTAGAAATCTAAGAGAAAGCAAGAGCAGAATCGGTAAAAAGCGAAAAACAGAGGAACTGCAATGTATTAAAAACATTGGTTAGGAAATAATTATGAGCGTATGGACAGCGTTCAGGTTTGTGTTTTGTTGGAAGTGTTTGATTGATTTACGAATGATACAGTACTTACAGTCTGTATTGTCCACTTAATTAGTATGTGTCAAATTGTTAAATACTTTTTTTCGGCGTAAAATGCCTTTTCCCAACTACGATACGCTAATCACCTGTTAATATGCGTCTTGTTCAAAAAAGGACCAAAAGGACCTAAAAAGCGTTTTCACAACAAGAATCTGCCAATCACACGGTAATAGGCATCTACAGGGTGGTCCAGCCAAGTGTGGGCAGTGACAAAAATTCCTCCACCGCTACCATTGAGTTTTAAAATTTTTATGTTATTTTTTCATGGTAGCTCTTGGTATAGAGCAACTTCCTTAACAGAGTTTTATTGCAAAAAGCTGAAGAGCAGCCAACGGGAATCAAAGTATTACTTTTGATTTTCCCGAAAAAAACGCGCTGCTTACCACGAAATAATCGTGTTCATTCAATAATATTTAGAAAATTTCAATCGTCTGATAACAGACAAGCGATAACGTAGTTTTTTTATAGTGCCTTCCTAGCTTCCTTTGAAATATGGATATCTTGACCGAAGCGATCAGCGCTCTAGGCAACCACTTTCTTCGGATGGTTCTCTTTAACATACAAGTCTATGGGCGATAGATCTTTTTCGAATTTATCACGAGCATGGATAGGACAAGATTTTTCTGCATACCCACAGAGAACACATTTTGGGTCACTCAATAATTTTCAAAAAAGTACATACAAAAATATCACTTCTTGAATTTTTTAGAAGGGCGGTTATTAGCCTTCTAAAAATGCCGGCTACCCTCCCCCATTAAGCTCCACCCCTTCCCTTACTGACACGTTAAATGATCCCGGTTTTATTTTCGCTGAATCCGCAGTAAAAAAAGTTACACAAATAAAGTTCAAAGAGAATATCAAAACTAGTTGCAGAAATAAATTTAAATTTATTTTATGCAACTGCCCACACTTGGCTGGACCACCCTGTAGTTCAAAAAAGGACCAAAAGGACCTAAAAAGCGTTTCCCAACAAGAATCTGCTAATCAGACGGCAATAGGCGTCTAGTTCAAGAAAGGACCTAAAAAGCGTTTCCCAACAAGAATCTGCTAATTAGACGGTAATAGGAGTCTAGTTTAAAAAAGGATCAAATGGACCTAAAAAGCGTTTTCACAACAAGAATCTACTAATCACACGAGTTCAAAAAAGGACCAAAAGGACCTAAAAAGCGTTCACGACAAGAATCTACTAATCACACGAGTTCAAAAAAGGACCCAAAAAAAGCGTTCACAACAAGAATCCGCTAATCACTTAGTAATGGGAGTATAGTTCAAAAAAGGACCTAAAAAGCTTTTCACAACAAGAATCTGCTGATCACACGGTAATAGGCGTCTAGTTCGAAAAATGATCAAAAGGACCTAAAAAGGGTTTTCACAACAAGAATCTACTAATCACACGAGTTCAAAAAAGGAACTAAAAATCGTTTCACAACAAGAATCCGCTAATCACTTAGTAATAGGAGTAACAGCAGCAAAACGCTAGCACCTAAATTATCAATATTTGTGATATGGTGCCACCTCGCTGCCAATTAGTATAGAACGAGTGTTTCAGTTTATGGTCAGCTTGTACCATTTTATGGTCAGCTAGCACATTGCTTATAGTCAGCGCAGTATAACTGTACTAGCAATTTTATCGACTCATTTTCAGCTTTTTTGAACCCATTCTTGGAACATTAATTAGATAGCATCAAAACGACAGCACCAAAATCAACAATGTTTGTGATGTGGTGCCACCGCGCTAACAATAATTAATATAGAACGAGTATTTCGGTTTATGGTCAGATTGTTTTTTGCTTATGGTCAGCCCCATATAACTGTACCAGCGAATTTCATCGGCTCATTTGATTTGTTTTTTTTCTTCCGTTCTCAAGGGACGACGCTCTAATAAATTAGGCCGGCAATCTGGCCGCACAGACGCACAGTGAACTGCTGTTTCTCTCTCTTCTGGTGATCGTCATCATAGCTGATTCGTGACCTTGCATCCTTTTCCAGATTGGAACAGTTGGCAGCTGCTTGGAAGCGCTGAATAAGCACTTCGCGTTGAGATGTTTCAGCAGCATTGTTTTTACCCGATTACGGGCATTGGTGTCTGGAAACGACAAGGTGTTTTGAATTTTTTCCCCAGCGATCGGTTATAGTTATCAGAAGAAAACGGACCTTATATAAACACAAAATGGCGACGGCTTACGTCATAAACTGGAGTTGGGAGCTGGACTTTCTAGTTACAATTCCCGGTTGCACTTTATAACTACAGCTCCCAACTCCCACACATGAGTCATCACAACTGTACACTGTATATATTTCATACGTGTATGAAACACGCTACATATGCAATACTAACATCCGCACACAATTCGATGATATTATCATTAGACAAAATTTTAATTTTTGATTGTATTATATAATCGGTTGTCTGGATTGTGTTTTCACTTTAAAGTAAGTATTAAAGGCACGAAATCATAATAAATCACCATACATAAGCAAGAAAATATACTATCAAAATGGCACGCCTAGTGTGTAAAAAGAACTTTTGCGAAGCAGTTATGGGAACATGCATTGTTCTAATGTTAATTTTAATAATATTGCTCGAGGCCTTTTTCGGAGTAAGTCATAATATGAAAACCAGTATCAACAACTGTTCAGCACTGACAGTTGAAGATTTAATCAACGGAAACGTCACCCCATGGTCGAGTGTTAAATTCCGTGTCGACAATTCGACGCTTTGAATATGTAAGTCGAAACCGTTTATTTATTTCTTTTGCGGAAACCTCCAATTTACGCTTATTCCGCGTAATGTTAAACGGATAGTTCACGGTTACATCATTTGGCTGGTCTTGCGGTGCCAGGCTTTCTAATAGCATTTCCTTCAGGCTTTCGAGGTTCAACTGTTTCCTGGCTTTCCTTGTTAAGGTAAAGCCCTTGACCTTTATCGTTTCACTGCCAGTGTTGGTGCGGTACGCGTAGCTTTTAGGCCCTGAAAAGAATGAAGTATAAATACTTATAAGCTGCACCGTAAAACAGCTTAACGTAGATCCGAATGTACCGAGTGCAACAAATTCGTTGATGTGCTCATTAGGCTCCAAGGACGATGACAAATCTCCTAAACATGTCCCCACTGGCGGATCAGGCAAGTCATCAGTGTGAATATAAAAGATACTGTCTGCAAAGTGCACAGATAGAATTACAATACGAAAGACAGTTTCTTGAAATTCAGTACTTGCCAGTATCATGATATAACAAGCGGTCTCCAACCATTTCCATAAACTTCAGCAAGTGCAACCGCGCATATGCTGTTGTGAATGCCGCAATGACAACATTTGTCTTTTTGCTTGTTGGGATGTAATCTTTTTTAGAACGGTATTGAACAGCCATAACTTCATCAGTCACCAAGTCGAATCCGGCAACTTCGTATTTATTGGAAAACAAATAATCATGGAAAATCTCTTTCTTTTCAACAAATGCGGTGTTGGATCTGTCCTCCTGCTGGCCGAACTTACCCCTGTAAAAAGACTCAGAATTAAAACTGCTTGTTGCCAATCGAAGTAATACTCTTTACCAAAAACTATTCAGCATAAGTTTGGACAACGCTCTTAGCCCATCGTTCTTCGCAATGTTGTTTTTATCCAATAAAATATTTTCTTTAATAAGAAACTCTTCAATAATATATCTGTCTTTGTCTTCCTCTGTTCGACAGTTCGGTGGATAGCCTGATGCCTCTGTTTTAAGCTTCAAAAACAGATCTATGTATTCTCTGAATAAATATTGCATCTGCTCTGGATAATGCCAAACAGAGTAAATCTTTTCAATGCGGTAGCCAGCTTCTATCGCGCGGTGAATTTCTGGTGTACACCACGTTCCTTCCAAAGCCCTGTCATCATCTTCATGGCAGCACGGTGTGTTCACGCGCTCCTGTACGCATTTGGCACATAACGGAAATGTAAGCTTGTCGGTTCTGTACGGCAGTACAGGGAGAAATAATGACGGTGGTGGAATGATACGGCATTTCATCACTCCGAATATGCTTTCCACAGGCGGGAAGTCCTTTGTGATGATGACAGGAGCTCCCACTGGATAAGGCAGATTTTTATTGATGTAGGGGTACTCACTAATAACGTCGAGGGAATAGATTTTTCGCCTGGCGCACATTTGTGGTACAGTTTGATAGCGTTTGTTCGGCCACCGGTGAATGCATCTCGTGGGTGCATAGGCTCTTCAATGTTTGCTAACTCGATGACTTGTTTGAATTCCATGTCTGCTGCTAGGCGCGCATCGTATTCGTGCTCCCAGATTGAAACAAGAGCGTAACCCATAGCTTTTATTGCGTCAAGGCGTGAGTCAGTTGCTTTGTTGATTTCTTCCATGGGGCGATTAAGAAATGGATGCAGTGTACTTTTTGTCGTGCAGTCGCTGCAACCGTGCCACATACACCCTTAAAAGAACAAACACAATTATATCAAAACTTTCTGTATTTGCTAAAATTCGTTGTTTATCTAATTTACCTAGAAACTCATAAACGGTTTTATTCCTTGGGTCAAAACCATCTACTGTCCAAGGGCCGATTCGAACCTCGCGCTGGAGTTGTATATCGTTGTCCATTTCAATCCATCGGAGCCAACGATCTCCTTTGGCAGAAGATTTTTTACCTTGTCCAGGGGGACCAATCAGCGCAATTTGGTTTTCTTTAACATCCGCGCTCTCCAAAAATAATTACACATTCCAGGGGTGGTAAGGCCTGAAGCAAATGGACACAATCCATTCGTCACTTGTTGGAAGAGCGTTCGAAACTTCTCACATGCTTGTTGGAGAACAAGAACATCTTGCGAGCAATATCTATAACAGAGCTAAATAAATACGGCGGCCAGAGTAAATGACATATTTTACCTACCCAATAAAGTGAGCATTAAAGTCAAATTGATTGTTGTGACGGCGTCGCTCTTTACGGAACCACTTTATAAAACGTTTACGCTCTTTCTTTTTCATGAGCTGGTAACCGTAATCGTGTCGATCTGGCCATGGAAGAATTTTGTTCCAATTTTCTGGCTGATTAAGTTTGTGAGGAAAGTCTCCTTTGGTTTCTTGCAAACCGAATGCTTTGGCAAAATTTTTGAGCGATGACGGCACATAATTCATAGAGTCACGGAATTTTATTTTAAGTTTTGAAATATCCATCTGCACAACCTTGCTCCCGTTAAAGATCAATGGGTGTGGAATGATTCCGTTCTTAATTAGATAGTTTAGCAGAAAATACCCGTCAAATCCCTAAAAAGTAAGTTTTTGTCAACAAAAGCTTATGATTGCTTATGAAGTTTTGACATTGTTTACCTTCAAGTTGTGTGCAATAAAGGTGTACCCACGAAAGCGTTCGCTAAAGATGAATTCCCCCAAAGCACTTGAAATATCACCGCTAATATTTCCATCTTCCGGAAGGACAAATTTCTCGTCTTTTGTTGCTATGACCGCTAAATTCACTTTGAAATCACCTGCCTCATCTTGAAACGTTTCAAGATCAAAGTACGCTAGCTTATCGTTTAGGTGTTTAGCCTTTTCTTTGTCTGTGAGCTCAATGGGTTGCATGTAGCAGACATGATTATCTTCGGGCATGAAGAACAATGAGCACGTTGGGCAAAAGACTTCACCACACCGATGTTGTTGGTCATCTATATCCAGTTCAATATCATCGTTTTCATTGTCGCTATCCTTGTCGCCGTCATCGTAAAGCGGATAATTTTGTGGCAAGTCGTAATTGGTCTTCATTCGACGATTCACCATGGAAACAAACGACTTACATAATTCACAAATAAAGAACTTTGCGCAGATTGGACTGCTTCCGGACTTATGCGTGTAAAGCACTCTTGCCCATGGAAATCGCGATTACAGTCAGCACAGTGGATGTTCTGAAGCTTGTCCATAGGGCAGGTTACAGATAAACACTGATGACACTTGAACTCACATCTGTGGTTCTGCCTTTTGTTGTAGCCCTTCATACAGCGGTAGCAATAATACTGTTGTTCAAAATACGCGGGCAGGGATGTTAGCACGTCAAAATGATGATCATGATGCAGCAGCATGATCCGTTTTTCACAGTACGCGCCGCAGTACGCAATTGAGTTTCCATGGTCCACCGAGACTACAATAAATTGATAATTTGGTAAAACGATTTCAAATCGAGGAATATCCTCCACACTGAATTCTCTATCTGGCAATTCCGCAGCCTGCAGCAACTCCTTGGTCTTTTCGGTCTGCAACTTCTTCGTTCGGTAAAGCTTTGTATACATTGTTTTATCGCCATCTGCATGCGCCTTAGCGACCACAATAGCTCGCGCCATACACAAGCAGTCCGTGTTGCGGATTTGTGTAATGCATCGTTTCTTGTCCAGTATTTGCCGTAACAGCTTTGAAACGTTTTTCTGCACGACCCAGTTGGAATATCCGTATGCTGCACAGACAATTCAAAAGATTCATCCAATAAAAACGCCTGATTTGAATTCAAGATTCTCCGGATCGTTGTCATCCATCTTTCAACACTCAGCTGATCACGTTGGATAGGTGGCATCCAAATTGGGTATTGCAGTGCGTTTTGATACAAGCGAATTCTAACCAAATTGTGGGCTGGAATTGCCGAAAGCACGGTGTCCAGAATGTCTTTCAATAAAAGAGTTATGGTTTTAATCGCGTATTTAAATGACAAATTATCCAGACCGTGTATCACACATTTATAGGTTTCAAACGACACTGAAAATTTTTGTGAATATTTAGCCCCGTTTTTCCAACTCATAATAATCTTTAATATCATACAAATCCGGATCAAGTTCTTCTAGGTTCTGTACTGGCACATCGATCGGAGCCGGAGGTATAAAATAATTGTGATCGAGAAGCGCATAATTATGATTGAAAAGAGCACTATCAGCAAAGTTAGTTTCAGCACTGGTGCCGGGGTCAAACAATTCTGCGGATAAGTCAGGGTTTGCGCCATGATGAAAGCAAAATATGGCCAAAGAAAGTTGCTAGCGACAAAGATGCCACTTTATATAACTGATTTGGACGAGAACAAAATTCCAGTACAGCATTTTGTAACGGGTACGGTTAGTTAGGCAGGTTACACTGACTCATGCACTAGAAATTCTTGGCATGCTAATATCCGCGTGAGTACTTTCTTCACTGCAATCGGTATCGGTGGGAAATACAGCACCACAGCGGATGCAACGTCTGTTACCTCGGTCATCTGCAATAACATAGAGCTTGTTAAAATTTTTTTTTTTAAAAGCGCGGAAACATTTCATTGCATACCCCAGTAAGCATTCTGATCTGATCTTGAGTTGCGGCAGCGTCGTTGCCGTCGAACGTGAACTTTTACTTCTGGAATCGGCATACGGCAAAGCAGGCATTTCGTACGACTTTTTAAATGGTGGTCCAGCATCCAGTTAGAGTAAGCTTGAGCTTTATTAGGACTGTAACACTTGTCCTTGCTTAGATCGGCAAAACGCGGACAGCCCAGTGTATCAAGATTAATGACATCAGATTTAATCAGCTTTTGAAGAATAAGACACTTTTGCCCCCCTTTTGCATAGAAAACGACATCGGCAGGATCGTCAACGTAGCGAAGATAATTTTTAAACGCTCGTTCGATTTGGTGTTCTAACTCTGAGAAAGCTTTATCGAACACAGCATCAATATCCGAAGAACAAACGCCATATTTATTCACAATGTAATTGCTTGGCGCTAACGCAAATGTGGTATAATAAAGGCAATAAAATTCGACCGAGCTTATTGCAAGTGACGTAATAATTGGCTTCCCGTTAAGCGCATACCACTTAATGTCTACAACAATATGGTAAACCATTTTTGGACCTAATGCTTTAGAAATCGTTAATTTCCGCTGGCGTAATGAGATGAAAAAGCTGTTGCATCTGAAAATTGTCCACTGACTGGGGTATTTTATGTGCATCAAAACGGATGCAGCGCAACGTCACGCTGGACCGCAAAATATTTTGGTGCACAACAAATTATTTTTAATCACATACAAACAGAACGTGAAAAATCTGGCGTTGATGACGTGACTTTATTGTGTTATCTGGCGGAAAACAGACTGAATAAGCAAAGAGTTATCACGGACAACAGTCTTTAAATTAAAATAATAATTAACATAAGCACAAACCATTCGATCATTCGAAGCTTTGCTATTGGTAAATAAATGAATAAGAGAAGTAAATGACTCGCCGGAGCATCGTTTTAGAATAAAAAAGCAGCAATACTGTCCGCATACGGTACTCCACTCCATTTGTAAACGATGCGCTTGTGAAATAACCATGCCCGCGTTCTTGCAAAAAGTTTCAATGTAGTGGCCGTAATAATGCGGTTCATGACCGTAAGAGTCAAAATATTCCAGCTGTCCTGGTATAGCCTGGTAGAACGCCAGCCAATGCGAGCCAGGTTTCGCAGCTTCGTCAGTATTGACAACGCATGCCCATGGTAGCTTGGCTGGCAGCGACGATGGTAGCATATCGGCAGCGAATACACCAATAAAAGCGTCTCTCGTCACGGTATTTGAACGTAGCACGTGATCAATCTCAGCAGTGTCCATTGTAGTGCCGATCTGCATTCAAAATAAAATTTGAATTTTCTTTTTAAACTTTGTCCTGTAAACAACGGGCGACCGAGAGCGCGAAGCGCTCCGGTCGCCCATTGTTTACCACATCCGTCACGATTCTCTTCAGCGTCAAAAGGGGCCGACGGCGCGCCAACCCCCCACTTGCGACCCTGAAGCTTACCGCTCAGGCAACAACACGACAATGTTTTAGGCTGTCAAACGCTTACGTTACGTTTTAAGCCGTAAAATCCGCAATGAGCTGGCGATGTGAGTTGACTTCAATTATATTATCCCACACCATCATCGTAATGGCCATAATTGGTTCAGTTAATTGGGCGGCGAACTGCAGGCGGATTGATAGATTTCCTTGGCGTACGGTGCTCATCGGTCCCCGGCCTGTCCGTGAAGGTGTCAGATCGAATCCCCAAATAGCAAATCCTTCCGCAAATGCTTTACGGTCGAAAGGCAGCGCCCCGTCCGGTGCGTGCAAGCGGCCAAGCGTCTCCAAAAGACCGTCATATGATTGCAAATAATCACCCGTTGCGAAATTTGGTCGGTAGGCTTGTGCGGGATACGACTGTCCGTCGACTTCGACACTTATATAGTTGAGATTGAAATGTTCAAAGTTAAACGGATTACCTCGGCGCAGCCCGTGAAAACTCGAGCTTTTTACGAATCCCACAAAAACACATTTGGGTACTGCTCCAATATGTAAATTAGCCAGCACTGTGCTCTGAATCATACCAATATCATTAACACGCATACACACTCGCTCAATAGGGTATTTCACAGTCTTTGTCGATAATTGGGCAGTAAGCGCAGACAAATATGCCGGATTAGGAACAAAGCGTTTGACGTACAGCCGCGGATTGCGAATGTATGCTTTAAAAGTATCCACTGGAAGATTGGCGTATGAACGCAGGTAGAATTCCGGCTTATTCAAAATGAGGCGCACATGTAGCGGTACACCGGTGATCAAATTTTATCCCTGCTGGAAAATGTCCGTACATAATTTGGCGCTGAATGGGACGTACTCGTTGGTCACAAACATGGCTTTCCGCGTTACTTCTCCAGCGTTATTGGCATGATCTTACCCGGGAGTGTCTATATAAAATCCAGCACTTGTTGCCTGGCTTTTTAGGGCAGCCGGTGTGTACCCCAACAAATTTTCCAAATACGCTCGGTAGGCATATAATGGGGTGGAATTAGTTATCAGGCGGTTGGCCATTGTTACCTCTACCGAGCTGAATATAGAATGCGCTATTAGGTTCACTGGTGCAACCAGATCCGTGTTTTCAATATGCGTAGCCGCACCAAGTCCTGCAATTTGCTTTTGATTGCAATATCCATTTCTAGCGTAATTTCCGTTAGCACTAGCAGCGCCGACGTTGAAGGGGAATGTAAAAAGAAATTTCTCCAGAACTAATTTCTTCTGTTTGCCCTGATGTTGGTAGAATGCGTTCTTCTTCTGTCCGCACAAAATCCGCTAGAGTGGCCGGAACGGAGAATAAATCCGACTCGACCTGCATAGCTGGCACGCTTCCTTCCAAAATAAAAGCCATTTTAAAATGCGTCCTCAAATTCTCTTGGGGGAATCCGTTTAAGCCGTTTAAGTCGGAAGGAAGGTTTCTTTATCTTTTTTGTTATTTTTTGCTGCTGCTTGAGCCGTTTGATGCCTCCTTGCTGTTGAGGTTGCGCAGTTAACGCTTCCGAAATTTTCTCTCCTACCTTCTTGGATGTTTCACTAAGAACTGTTGTCGCTGCGTCGCGTAAGTGGGGCTTTGCTGCTTCCATTGCTGCTCTGGCATGTGGTGCCGCTGCTTTAATAACCGGGGCAGCAAAATGCGCTAATTTACTAAACATTGCGCGCAGAAAATTAGGTAGCATAAATCCGCTGCCATTTTGCATTAAACTCCCGCGATAGCGTGTCATGACGGCTCCATAGCCGTGCTGGCTACTAGCGCCCGTGGCGGCCCCGCAAATAAATCCAGATAGAACGATGGTGACGGCTCAAAGAGGATTACGGGCATTTTTTAGCGATAGTAATACTGAATGGGGCGGAAATGCAGCTTTACCATTGACTTTCCAGTCTGAAAAATTGCCGCTTCTCCGAGATCAGTTGTAATGTTGATATCAATAGTGTCCAGTCGATCGTATAAAACAGGTAAATAATGTGGATCCTCAAACCTTTCCGAAACAATTTCGAAGCGAGGAACACTTGCTTTAATGGGGAAAGCGCG